CTGACAAACTATACTTTGACTTTTCCGTAAAATCGTGACAAACTATTACTTATTCTTAAATTTGACCTCTTGCTGCTTGGTTGGAAATGATAGATGAAAAAGCTACAAAGCTTAAAGAACTTTCTAAAAACTCTCAATTCTACAGATGACTCCCCCCACTCAACGCAATAAGTCCACCCCCACTCAGCAAATCATCTAAAACGAAGGACCCCACTAAGACGACCGTTGAAAACTAGCCAGGGATCTGAGAAAAACCAAGTCTCCCCCCGCGAGTTGCAGCCAGGAAGAAACTCCTGGACTACCATCATCACCACCATTGTGGACACCCAAATCTTGCAGTACTACTGCTGCTGATGTTACTCCTTGGGCCAAGATGTCTCTGTTTTTGAACATAGTGAAATCGGAGTTGGTTGATATTCTGGAGAGGGTGCTGCATCGGTACAGAGAAGAAATCTGCAATGGATGCCGAGTCAGTCACCCCGGCCAGAGGCAACACGATTGTGTGAATGACATTCCAGAATATTTCTTCAGAAACAATTACAACGCGTTAATGAAAAGACTTTGGCTCGCCGACTTCATTACTGCGATTGACCACAGTCTTAATGATAAAAAACATTTACACGGCTGAATGGAGGATCCAAGGCGCTTCGGAGGCTTTTCTGCACAATCTCAAAAACTGCAGACGCCTCAAGGAGAGACTTGAAAAGATCCATGCCGAGCTGGATGGAGAAGAAGAAGACTAATAACCAGCGGTTACATTATTTAACTGAACAAGTGTTTTAAAAAAACAAACGGGGTATTAAAGAAACCCAGCGGTTACATTATTTAACTGAACAAGTGTTTTTAAAAAAAAAAACGGGGTATTAACACATTCCTTACAAAGTACTTCATATTATACCCTTTTGTTAAGTGTTGCATACATCAAAGTGTATCTAAAAGTATCTTGGTAACACAAGAAAAGAGAAAAAAGTCAAAAATCTGCCTTGTGTCAGTAAATAAGTGTTAAAAATCACAAACTTGCCTTTTAGAGATACAGTCTTTAACCTCTTAAGCCCTGAGCCTGTTTTTCAGGTCTCAGGCTCGAAAATGACATTCCCAGATCAAATGACCATATCTTCCCTTCTAAAAGGGTTAAATTAATAATCTTTATTCTCAAAGTAATGATAAACCTGTGAGTTGGATGTAGAAAAGTCAGAATCAATATAGATGTTTTTTTATTTTAAAGACAATTCAGATTTTACATAGTAAAAAACTGTAAATTATAGTGTCCGTCCAAATATTATTTTTTACTTATAGTGAAAACTACCCTTGGATGATGGGTTAGTAGACTAAAAGCTTTAGGAATCCAAAGTACAACATATAATAAGTACCCTGTATCAAGATTGATGCAAAACAAGTGAAATTTGACCTTTTTAGAGAGATTTAGCCAAAAAAACCCACTTCTGGGGTCATTTGGGTGGATTTGACCTATCTCTGGCCCCCCTTGCTCGATTTTCATGAATGAAATCTCTTTATAACCGCTAGAGCCAATGGAATCGAGGGAAAGTTATATACACACCAACACGTTAACAAATAAGGAGTGAGAGTGACGCGTTACCAAAACCGGAAGCTGCATACACTCTGGTGGCTACCATTAGCAGCTAACTTTTCCGCTCCGATTTTTACATAAAAAATTGAATTATGGATTATAAATAATTTTTTCAAAGGCACAGGTACATTATCAACCTATGCATCAACAGTTATAGATTTTTGTTCGTTTTAATGCCATTGAACACGTCTTTTGACCTAATTGACAGCTAGGGTGAGACGATCTGCCGTAAAAGCTCCGTAAAGGTACGTGTTGTGATGTCTGTGTTTGCTTCCCCTGTCGCAAGTTAGGATCGCTCAGTGATGATAATATACCTAAATAATCAGTGGAGTCTCAGCTTTAATCAGCTATATTGTATGTGCAACTACGATAAGTAATAAGGGTATCTTTATCTTGAATTGTGTGCCGCAGTGCGTTAGAATTCTTTAGCTCAGGGGTCATTTAGACGCTTCTTATGAGACTTGTGTTTTGTTTTGGTAAAAATGGTTCATATCTTCAGTTAGCTGAGATTCTTCCCGTTAATCTGGTGCTACACATTAATAGTTTCATAAATGTTAAGAAGCCCTGAGACATTATCTCGAAAAAAAAACGGTAGGAGGAGTCCAATGGGGGGACCGCCGTGCTTAAGAGGTTAAGAAAATACATGTGTTACAAAGTGATTGACATTCTACCAGTTGTAAAGTTGTCAGACAACAAACTGTATCTAAAAGTATCTTTGTGTGCAATAGTATGTTGAAAAACAAAAAAGAAACTCAATTCATTACAAATTAATGAATATTTTACCAAGTTATAAAGTTTTGCATCCATTAAAGTGTAACTATAAGTATCTTTGTAGGAGAAAAAACAAAAAATAATTTAAGTTACTTCCATTAAACTGGATTGTCTTACTAAAATCCCAGAGTGCCTTTAAGAGTCACAGTCTTAAAGAAAATCTGTTCAGAAAAAGTACTTAACTTTCTACCAGTTGTAAAGTTTTCATACATAAAACTGTATCCAAAAAGTAAGTGAAAGACAACGGGAGAAAAAATAAAACTTTTAAAATCACCAACTTCCCTTTTAGAGTCACAGTCTTTAAGAAAATACATTTGTTACAAAATAATTAACATTCTACCAGTTGTCAAATGTTCCTACATAAAAGTGTATCAAAAAAGTATCTTGGTAGCTGAAAATAACTAAAATATCAGAGAAAACCTACATTATTTAACTGAACAAGTGTTTTTAAAAAAAAAACGGGGTATTAAAGAAACCCCCATTCCTTACAAAGTACTTCATATTATACCCTTTTGTTAAGTGTTGCATACATCAAAGTGTATCTAAAAGTATCTTGGTAACACAAGAAAAGAGAAAAAAGTCAAAAATCTGCCTTGTAAATAAGTGTTAAAATCACAAACTTGCCTTTTAGAGAAACAGTCTTTAAGAAAAAATCTAATCAGACAATGTACTTCATTTTCTAGTTTTAAGGTTTTGCATACCTCAAAGTGTGTCGAAAAGTATCTTGGCAAGAGAAAAAAGCCAAAATCTGCCTAGTGACAGTAAGTAAGTGTTAAAATCACAAACTTGCCTTTTAGAGTCACAGTCTTTAAGAAAATACATGTGTTACAAAGTGATTGACATTCTACCAGTTGTAAAGTTTTCAGACAACAAACTGTATCTAAAAGTATCTTGGTAGCAGAAAAAACAAATTAATGAATATGTTACCAAGTTATAAAGTTTTGCATCCATTAAAGTGTAACTATAAGTATCTTTGTAGGAGAAAAAACAAAAATCATTTAAGTTATTTCCAGAAAACTGGATTGTCTTACTAAAATCCCAGAGTGCCTTTAAGAGTCACAGTCTTAAAGAAAATCTGTTCGTCTTAGTGGGGTCCTTAGTTTTGGATGATTTGCTGAGTGGGGTGGGACTTATTGCGTTGAGTGGGGGGAGTCATCTGTAGAAATGAGAGTTTCTTTCACCCGTATAATGTCCCTCGCTGTTTGACTCTTTTTAAAAAGTTATTTTTCATCTATCATTTTCAACCAAGCAGCAAGAGGTCAAATTTAATAATAAGTAATAGTTTGTCACGCTTTTACGGGAAAAAGTCAGAGCGCGATGTCACATCTTAAAGACAGCTTGAACTGGATAGATGGTTAGTCTTTTTCAAACATACCATACGTTCTGCATGCTAGTATATTTGGCCAATCGGGTTAGGCCCTACTGCCCTACTCCCTCTATAGGGAAGTCACGCTTTGGGAAGAGGTGTTTAATTTGACAGATCTGACTTGATTGTTGTTGTGATGGCTGAAGGAAGAGGGACGGGGAGGAAAATTCAGGGGGTGAAGAAGCAGAAAAATAACTTGTTTGTAAAATGGACAGCACGTCAGTTTCAGGAAAGATGACACCGGTTTTATGCATGACATGCCAAATATCCTGAAGCCCTACAAAAAAAAAAAAAGGTACAAGTATATTGTGTTGAAAATATCGCAAAAAGTCGTAATATTGTATAATGTATTAGTTGCATGTTGTATTTTGATAAAAATCACTGTATATTCAAAAATATAATGGAAAAAGGAGAGAAAAACCAATATCACAGTATGTTGAAAAATATGAAAAAAGTAATGTTGTGTTAAAATAACATGAAAGAAATCAAAGTAAAGCATCTAAAAATATATATTTAAAAAAAGTAATGTTCGTCAAGTTGAGTTATCAAAACTGCATTGTTTCATCGAAACAATGCAGTGTACAATGTTAAAATCACAAACTCTCCATTTAGAGTTTGATTCTTGAAGAAACTGAATTCATTACAAATGAATGAATATTTTATCAAGTTATAAAGTTTTCCATACATAAACGTGTATCTTACAGTTCCTTTGTGAGAGAATTACGCACAAATTGCAGTATTTTATCTGTTTTATGTGCTCTATATATATATATATATATATATATATCATTTGTTGCACTGTTGGAGGAGCCTGTGACCTATGTTTTTCATTGACATATCTACACTGTAGCTAATGGGCATATGCCATAAAGCCTTGAAACTTGAAAGTATCTTAGTAACAAAAACAAAAGCAAAAAGCATTAATGTTAACAACGCCTCAAAGGGCGGACTCCTGAGTTCCGTAATGTCCCCCTACCATGGCTCTTGGACTATTTACATCATCCAGGGCTCAACACCAGTAAATACACCTCTCTTTATCCGCTCTCCAAGCCTCCAAGGGCGGACTCCTGAGTTCCTTAATGTCCCCCTAACATGACACGTAGACTATTTACATCATCTAGGGAAGCACACCAGTAAATCTTCCTTATAGTTAATAAAGTAATTAAACAATAAAAAGACAATACCATGGGGTCATTCAGATCTTTAAATTATTATTTTCCTCTCAAAGAGACTTCGTTGTAGTTAATAAAGTAATTAAACATTAGTTTGCAAGCCCTACAACTAAAGAGAACATCCAGTTCACAAGCCATACATTTTCAAAAGAACATCCATAGTTAACACAAATCATATTAAAAACTAATCTAATTTAGAGAGGACAATAAAAGTTTTAGGTGACTTAGTGAGTGAAAATTAATGGCTGATAGCAAAATCAGGAGGTGACAGGAAGGCGTGTGGGGGGGACGGGGGGGGGAGACAGTCTCACACATCCAGACTCCATTTTCATGAAGAGCCTGACGGAGGGTCTGAACCCGGCACAGATACTGCATCCGTTTCTTGACTGGCGCTCCCGACGGATGGCGGTAAGTTGTCACAGGCGTCTCGCTGATTAAACAGGCTTTTTATCTAGTTTGCACAGATTTATTTTTTACCTAACTCCACCCCCACCTCTATCTTCTGGCATCACAGCAAAAGGAAGGGGGACGGGGTGGGAGGAGGACGGGGTGCGAGACAGTCTCACACAACTTCAAAGAGACTGCCTTAACACTAGTTACAAACACTGATCAAAGGACATACATCAAAGGGCTAATTAGATTGACATCAAAGGCTTATAACATGCCGGTGTGATATCACACCTACATGTTACAACACCTCATCCCCCTTACATCAAAGGACAGACATCAAAGGGGTAATTAGATTAGACAACAAAGGGCAGACATCAAAAGGCTAATTAGATTAGACAACAAAGGATCTACTACAAGGGGGAATATCACACCTACATGTTACAACACCTCACCCCCCTCACATCAAAGGATATCACACCTATCTGTGATATCACACCTACACGTGATAACACCTCAAACCAAACACTGATCAAAGGACATACATCATAGGGCTAATTAGATTGACATCAAAGGCTTATAACACTCCGGTGTGATATCACACCTACATGTTACAACACCTCACCCCCATTACATCAAAGGACTGACATCAAAGGGTAATTAGATTAGACAACAAAGGGCAGACATCAAAGGCTAATTAGATTAGACAACAAAGGATCTACTACAAGGGGGAATATCACACCTACAAGTTACAACACCTCACCCCTCACATCAAAGGATATCACACCTATCTGTGATATCACACCTACACGCGATAACACCTCGACCAAAGGGGCTCATTAGCACATCAAAGGGGCTCATTAGCATAAGTAGTAGTAGGTGTGACCTGTCACAGCACCTGTCACCTGTTATGCATACTAATGTGATTGAAACAGTATCAGTATAACTACTTACGTGTGCTAGGCGAGACTTCTTTGCTGGCTGGGTTGATGGTGATGGCTGTGGTGGAGGCCTTTGTGCCGGGGTGTATCTTGACCTGGTGGCAGGCACAGATGGAGGCAGAGGCAGCTGTAGTGATGCTGGTCCTCTGGTCCTTGATGGTGTTGGCTCTGGTGAAGGCCCTTGAGCCACTGTAGATCTTGAGCTGGAGGCAGGCACAGATGGAGGCAGAGGCAGCTGTAGTGATGCTGGTCCTCCAGTCCTTGATGGTGTTGGCTCTGGTGAAGGCCCTTGAGCCACGGTAGATCTTGACCTGGGGGCAGGCACAGATGGAGGTTCTGGCTGCTGGATAAACGCCGCCTGTGGGCCACTAGGCCCAGGCAGCTGTGTAATCTGAAAGAATGTAGGACAATAATTACTAAATTCATTAAAATAAAGGTCAAGTGGAATGTTACTCAAGTACAAATAACAATGCACAGCTACAAATAAAATGGGGACGTGGGACAGGAGTCTCTCTCTCTCTCTCTCTCTCTCTCTCTCTCTCTCTCTCTCTCTCTCTCTCTCTCTCACACACACACACACAGGTATTTCCAGTTATGTTACATTCAGTATAAAATCACAGGCACAAATATAAATACATCTATATGTGTGGGATGAATAAAAGTTGATGTTATTCATCTACACCAGGGGGGTCAAACTCAAATACACAGTGGGCCAAAATAAAAAAATGGGTACTAGTCAAGGGCCGGACTGGTTCAATGTTTATTACAAAACTTATTGAAATGAACTTATTGCACATATTAAACCTGGAACTAACAAAGTTTAAATGATTGCCTATAAAAACAACATGAAACATTAAATAATCAGTTGCATTCATTTCTTATGGCTCAATCTGCAGCTTCTGCAGAGTCATTTCTTATGATTACATTTCTCCACAGGCCAACAACAGCTTCAACAAAACTATTTCCCTCAAAGAACAAACCAAACATGCCCTGTTGTCGTGAGAAAAGAAAGTGCAGAAGGAAACATGTAAACTCAGTGTGCTGCTCTATGATGCTAGCTCAGATACTTGGCATCTCATCTTGGGTGCAAGTTCATCAATATTTGGGGTCAGGCTCTGAGCTGAGGAGACCCTCAGGATGGAGTGAAGGTGTGCGTGCAATATACCGGCGGGCCAGATCTAATAGTAATTAAAAATTATCCTGCGTGCCGAAATTAAATCCACCACGGGCCTGATTTGGCCCCCGGGCCTTGAGTTTGAGACATGTGACTTAGAGGAAGAGATGTGGATCAAGGGGGAACAAACCAGATCAGCTTATTTTCCTCAATGAGCAGCCAAAGACTTAACAAGGGGACATCGTGGCAGAAGAAATATGCAGTCAAACTTCACAGGTGCTTTATTCTATCAGGAAAATGTGGAAAGGACTTGCTCAATACATTTTCTCATGACTTTGTATTATCGTTTTATGTTTTCTCTTTTAAAAGTCAATTGCATGTACAGCATGTTGAAAAAAGTAATAAGTTCAAAGATATACAAAAAAGAGAAAGGAATACCATGTCTCGACAAGTATCTGAAGAAAGTAATCGTATTGTAGTTCGGAAAAAATCATGCAAGTATATTTTCTAAATAGAGATCCACTATCACCAAGCCGACCATCTATAGCTGTTAGCAAAGCCGCGCTGACAGTGCTAGAAGTGAAGTCAAGACAACTGGCCAAGTCACGCCTAAACAGGTAACAATGTGCTTGGCATGACTTTGAGGAAGAGGTGTGGATCAAGGGGAAAACAAGGTCTGGTATGTCCTCAATGTGCAGCCAAAGACTTAACAATGGGACATCGTGACAGAAGAAATATGCAGTCAAACTTCACAGGTGCTTTATTCTATCAGGAAAATGTGGACTTGCTCAATACATTTTCTCATGACTTTGTATTATCGTTTTATGTTTTCTCTTTTAAAAGTCAATTGCATGTACAGCATGTAAGGGATTTATATTTAAGTATTACTCTGTGTGGAAACTACATTGTGTTGAAATCTAAAATCTAAATAATTATTTGTATAGCATAATAGTCTGAACGAAAAAACCGAAAAGCTGCAGATCGATCAAAAAGTGCCCACATGAATGGATAGCCGTGGAATTATTTTTTACTTAAACAAACACACAAATTCCCCTTGATCATTTGGCCTCATTGGGACAGTAATTCCCCTTGTCAACATTTCTGGCAGCACATTGAGGAAGAAAGGAGGAGCAAGGAAGAACGGTTCAACATAAATAAGACTGGAAGGCAGAGTGGACACACTGCGGGAAGATCTCCTTCAGATCACTGCAGCAGAAACATGACCATGAAGGTGAGGACAATTTAACATTTAAAATACTCTGTTATAATTCAAAGTCCTGCATTCAGCAAAATGACCTAAGATACAGTTGTTGATGAACTTACTTTATAACCTTTTATTCATTGTATAGAAGAGGATAATTGTGATATCTTTTTTTATATCTGACAAAAAGTGTTTTTTTCTATTTCTGAGATTAAAGTCTGAACTTTGACTTTTTGAAAAGAAGAATCACTTTTGGTCCGATGTGAAAAGATGTTTTACATGTGGCCCTGATCCTCTTCTGTATACTTGCTGTATATATATATATATATATATATATATATATATATATATATATATATATATATATTATAATATCCTTCATATGGTGTGATCAAATATGAGGATAAAATGTACTTTGTTATCTTACCTGTGTGGAAGAGCATGAGAGCCACATGTGCATTTTGTTTTAGATCTGACAAAAAGTAGGGTTTTTTTGTTTTGAGATTAAAGTCAGAATTTTGACTTTTTTTCCCGAAATTTATTTTGTGTTCTCAGAATTCCGTTTTTAAAAGTAATCAGATTTTTCCCAGAATTCAGTTTTTGACTCAGGATTTCTCAGATTAAAGTCAGAACAACATGTCCTCTGTCCAGCTGGTCTCAATCGTCCTCGTCCTCCTGGCTTTGCTGTTGGACAGCGGCATGTCTCTCGTCCTCCCAACGGACTGCAGCGACATCATCAACAACGACAGCAGCAGACCCAGTGGAGTTTACACCATCTACCCCATCGGATCCACCTCTGCTGTCCAGGTACATCCTCTGAGAGACTTCATACAACACTATATCTCACTGATCAAATGGATAGGATGTGTTAATGAGAGTGTGTGTGTGTGTGTGTGTGTGTGTGTGTGTGTGTGTGTGTGTGTGTGTGTGTGTGTGTGTGTGTGTGTGTGTGTGTGTGTGTGTGTGTGTGTGTGTGTGTGTGTGTGTGTGTGTGTGTGTGTAGGTGTACTGTGACATGGACTCACTGGGCGGACGGTGGACGGTGAGTTTCTTAACCTGTTAAGCCCTGAGCCTGTTTTTCAGGTCTCAGGCTCCAAAATGACATTCCCAGAACAAATGACTATATCTTCTAAAAGGGTTACATTAATAATCTTTATTCTCAAAGTAATGATAAACCTGTGAGTTGGATGTAGAAGAGTCAGAATCAATATAGATGTTTTTATTTTAAAGTATAGTGAAAACCACCCTTGAATGATGGGATCGGAGACTAAAAGCTTTAGGAATCCAAACTTTAACATATAATAAGTACCCTGTATCAAGATTGATGCAAAACAAGTGACATTTGACCTTTTTAGAGAGGTTTAGAAAAAAAAACACCTCTGGGGTGATTTGGGGGGATTTGCCGTTTCTCTGGAACCCATTGGTCGATTTTGGTGATTGTCACCTCTTTTGAACCGTTAGAGCCAATAGAATCGAAGGGGAGGTTCCTAAATCCACCTACACGTTACCATGAGGAGTGAGAGTGATGCGCACGCAGTTTGTTACGCTCTGAAAACTGAAAACTAGGTTTATTGCTGATGGATTATCAGTAATCATTTGGATTAACCTTCAGCAGCGTTTTTATCGTTTTAATGCCATTGAACACGACTTTTGATCAGAAACAGCAAAGGTAAGACTATTTGCCGTTTTTGCTCCGTAAAGCTACGTCGTGTGATGTCTGGGTTTGCTTCCCGTGCCGTGAGTTTTGGTCGCACAGTGATGATACTTATACCTCTAGAATCTGTGGAATCTCAGCTTTAATCTGATGATCTCACTGGACGGTATTGATGTGTGCTGATTCTCTCGCGTCCAGGAAGAAGTTTAAAGATTAAGAGACAAATGAGTCTCTGAAAGGGTTAAATTGGTTACTTTAATTTAAGCAGCGTGGTAGTGAAACAAACAAAGGGTAGTTGGGGGGGGGACAAAAGCAGATGTTGTCCCGCAGCTGGTACCAAGGCAAGAGAGCGAGCACACGTTGATTCTCCCGCCTGTATCTCTCCTTCGCTCCTCCTCTCTGGGGGCTGTGACGTAGGGGGCCGCCCACCTCGATCTGCAATCGTGCATAACAGAGGATTTCGATATTTTGTATTCATTGCTCACTTCCACACGCCTTTTCTCCTCCTACTCTCTTTCATTACTTTTTATTTAATGCATTATAACGGCTGTAATCGTTACTCTAGTAATACCGGAAATGGTCATTATTTAACGGCTGAGACCGTTAGTACTGTAGCACAGGAAGTCGTCATTGTTGTCAACGTCTTTAGATACAGCTTTTCAAAATAAACTTTACTCTGAACTGTTTTCAGAATAAAACAGTTTTTAAAGCTTACTATGTGTTTACGCTAAATTACATCATTGAATATTGATTTTAATTTCTAACAACGGACAGTGGACGGTGAGTACCTGAACTCAAAAGCTAAATCTGGCCCCCAGTTATCTGTGAACTGAAACCTGGTCAGACAGCAGAGATGAAATATACGTACAGTATCTTTGTGCAGGATAAACAAAGTAAAGTATTTAGTCTAATCTATCAAATCTACAGTTTGATATATCTATCCAGAGACCGTTGGGACACTTGAAGTGTGTTAGCTAAACCATGCTAGTCAGGTTAGCTCCTGAATGCATTCAGTGAATGGCAGTGAGAAATCAGAGGCTCCACTTTAGATCTACTGTTGGCTCCTGTTCCCAGTAGAGGCTGGTTCAACTCTGTCATGCTCTTTTTCCATGGACTGGAAATGTCCATTATATTTGCTGAGAGATTTAGTATTTCCCCCAGGTGTTCCAGAGGAGGATGGACGGCTCGGTGAACTTCTACCGGCCCTGGGATGACTACAAGACGGGCTTTGGTTTCGCTGCCGGAGAATACTGGCTCGGTGAGAGATGAAGACGAACCGGAGGTCCTGACTTGATCAAACTCACGGTTTCCTAGCGTTCATGGTGTCTGTTTGTCTGCAGGTCTTGAGACTCTCTTCCACCTGACTCTGAGGAAGAAGTACGAGCTGCAGGTGGACATGGAGGACTTTCAAGGCGGCAAAGTTTTCGCTCGGTACTCCTCGTTCTCCGTGGACCCAGAGGCCTTCGGGTTCACTTTGCATGTTTCTGGATTCACTGATGGAGGGGCAGGTGAGGAACAGCAGGAAGTGCTTGATGTCTTTCTGATGTTCAGGAGACGCTCTCACACTTAGGACTGGCTTCAGACATCAGAGAGAGATAAGGGGGTAACAACAGCAGATCAGGAACTGTGGCTATATGCCGATGACATTCTTCTGTATATCACACATCTGGAGGTATCCCTTCCTATATATTTAACAATGAATGATCTGGGCTGTCCTCAGGCTAATGACTGATTGACAAAGAGAACATTACCCAAAGGGACCGTGCTGTAGTTCCTTTACAGCCTAATGGTGTTATATATATTCTGGAGATACATTTAAACTTCAGAAATCATAAAGTGTTTTAATGTGTGGAGATTATTTTCTGCTATATTACAAAATCACATGGAGAAATCCCATTGGACCAGGGACATGCTGCCTTCAGGGACCAACACAGAAATACTTCATCCCTGTATTAGTTGTATTATAATATTCTGATTATACACTTGTTGTGTTTCTGTAGGAGACTCCATGAGTTTTCATAACGGACAGAAGTTCTCCACCTTCGACAAAGACCAGGACTCTTCGACTGTTAACTGTGCCAGAACATACCTGGGGGGGTTCTGGTACAACGATTGTCACGGCACAAATCCCAATGGGGTTTATCTCTGGGGGGCTGATGGCACTATTTTTGCTATAGGAGTGAGCTGGTTCACTTGGAAGGGTCACGACTACTCCCTGAAATCCATCAGCATGAAGGTCCGTCCTGTACAGTAGTTCTGCAGGACAGCAACATGTCCTCAGCTGATATCAATCACATGTAATCACTCATCACTTTAAGATGGAAACAGATCCACACAGTGTGATCATGTCTACGTTTTAAATTCAAACTGAATCACTATTTGCTTCACGCTGACAATAAATGAAAACAAATAGCTGATGTGATGTCTTCACTTTGTCTCCTGGGTCTTTAACCTTCTGAGCCTCAGGGTCTTTCTCTGCAGTCTTCACCTTATTCTTAGCCTGGTCGTGGGTGTTTCCACATTGCCTTTTCTGTAGCTACTTCTGTTTAGAGTGTAAGTCTTGTGACTTTGCTTAGCATCACCAGCTCTATCAACCTTTGCTCTCCAAAGAAACAGTTTGTTAACATTTGAGTGAAGTGTTGTTAAGTTGTAGAACTTTCTCAGTAGAGAAACGTACCATTCAGATTACCTTTATGTAATTACTTTATCCAAACTACGTATATTTCAGAATGTAATAAAAATAAGATAAAAATTAAAATTAAAATTAAAGCGGCAAGCAGCGATGAGCGGGCCTTCGCAAGGCATCGCACGTTGGGGTACTTCCTGGATCCACGCACGCGCAGCACCGATTCGCCATCGTCTCTAACCAATCCGTAACATTAACCCGATTTGTTAAGTGCATGTGCACACATAAGATACTTTTACATGTTACTGGTTAGACGCTTTTATCCAAAGCGACTTACATACTCAATACTGAGGGCAATCCCCGCTCAATAATTACAAAAAATAAATAAAAATAACCGTGTTATTTCACGCTGCTATGGACCGTCTGCACTAATGCACATTCTCAAAGATGTTGAAGTGACTGTTATTTTGTATATATTGATTGTTGTGCTTTTATTTAGGTCTTAAGGTGTGCATATGTAGAAATGTGAACTTGCAGGATTCATTTTTTCACTTTCCTCGGAGCAGGAAGTGAAGACCTTATAAGGAGTGTCCTGTGATGTCAGAGGGGGCGGGGCCTGTGCTCTATATAAGCCTGTAGTGCAGCGGCTCTCAGACAGAATAGGCTTGTTTGAGACGAGCTGCGGCTCGCCTCGAAAGTAGACGAGAATAGCCGATCGCAGCCGGGGGAGGTCTCAAAAAGCTCGCCTGAAGTCGGACAGCTCGGAGTCGGCTTCTTCTTCTTCTTCTTCTTCTCTCGGTTTTTTGGCGGATTGCAAACAACTTTAAGGTGCATACTGCCACCTCCGGAGTCGGCTTGACTTGGTTTGCATTTATAAAGAATGCACAAATGTGTTTAATCGTTAATGTCAGATATGTACTCAGTAAATACATTTCAAGGTTCAAGGTTCAAGGTTCTTTATTGTCAATCTGACATAGCTACAGAGTAATTATGTAGTTGAAAATCTTATGTCACAGGCTTCTCCAACAATGCAACATAATAACATAATAACAATAAGAGCAAGAGCAATACAAAAAGAATAATAGTTATAAAATAAAGTGATGATGTGAAATAGTGCAATAGAGTCTATATACAAGTTATTGGAATGATATATATATATTAGGTATTAGATACATACTACTGAGTAACAGATGAATGTTTGAAGTTGTTTCAACAGTTCAATTGTTTAACAGTCTCACTGCCCGCGGGAAGAAACTGTCTCCGAATCTTCTTGTCCTTGCCAGGATGCTGCGGTAACGTCTGCCAGACGGCAACAGAAAGAACAGTTTGTGGCTGGGGTGATGGGGGTCTTTGATAATCCGTAGTGATTTCTTCTTTCTTTCTTTTTCTTCTTTCTTTTTCACCACCCTCTGTAAAGCCTTACGATCGAGGTCGGTGCAGCTGCCGTACCAGGCCGTGATGCAGCCAGTCAGGATCCTCTCTATTGTGCACCTGTAGAAGGTCAGGATGCTCTCTATGGTGCACCTGTAGAAGGTCAGGATACTCTCTATGGTGCACCTGTAGAAGGTCAGGATGCTCTCTATGGTGCACCTGTAGAAGGTCAGGATGCTCTCTATGGTGCACCTGTAGAAGGTCAGGATGCTCTCTATGGTGCACCCGTAGAAGGTCAGGATGCTCTCTATGGTGCACCTGTAGAAGGTCAGGATGCTCTCTGTGGTGAACCTGTAGAAGGTCAGGATGCTCTCTATGGTGCACCTGTAGAAGTTGCAGAGTATCCTGGAATCCATTTTGAACCTCCTCAACCTGCGGAGGAAGAAGAGCCGCTGTCGAGCTTTCTTGGTGATGGTGGTGGTGTGAAGAGTCCATGTCAGGTCCTCAGTGATGTGGACCCCAAGGAACCTGAAGCTGCTGACTCTCTCCACCGTAGTCCCATTGATGGCGATGGGGGCGTGTCCCTGTTCCTGCTCAAGATTAGATTCAACTGTATTGTTATTGCACAGATTACAGGTACTGAGACAACGAAATGCAGTTTAGCTTCTAACCAGGAGTGCAACAAGCAGTAAAGTGAAATGTAATGTACACAATCTACAGAATAAAATATAGAATGAATTGAATGATGAATAAACAGTGAGGGGTATGAATACACTATATACACAGTAGCCTATGAGCAGTGGGTATGAATACACTATATACACAGTAGCCTAGCCCAGTATGAACAGTGTGTATGAATATGCTAAGATATATAAAGTATGACAACGGTAAGCAGTGCAAGTATAGTATAAAATATATAGATATTAATGTCATGATGATAAACATTGTGGAACAATGATGAAAATTGTGAATGGAAGTGGCGACGTAAAACTGACACAAAACAACACACTTTTGCCGAGCTAATGGAGAGTTTCATCTCCAGCACGGGGTAAAACCCACCAATGAGCGCTCAGCTCGAGATACCAGCGAGTCGTTTCCCATCAAGCATTTCGCTTCCGCAGCCCGTGGAGAGAAACTGCGCCGCCTCGCTCTCAAGTCTGCGGGCGTCTTTGTCCCGCGAGATTTCAACGTCTCACGTACAGATGGAGCGAGGGTCGTGATTGGTCCGTGATTGGTCCGTGATCGGCCCGTGATCGGTTCGTGATGAAGAGCCGGCCCCCAGTCTGACTTGATACCGCCCCCGTGATAAATACATGTAATTATTGTGAAGCCAGCTGCAATGGATCATTGATCCACCAGGGGGTGCAGTGGGGTTCCACACTGGAGCTCATGTGAAATCAACTTCGATACAGTAAGCTGGATGTTGTGGTGCCGAGAGACGGGAGTCGGAGCCGGGGTATCAAAAGTACAAGCTAAACTTTTATTTAGCATCTGAACACACATGTAAACAACTTCATGCCCGGGAAGCGAAGACCGGCGGAAACAGCTGGTCTGGTTCACTAAAATGTCCGTGCGGAACAATACCCCAACCCATAGATCCGTGGGTGAATAATGTCAATCACCACAATGTACAGTATGTCTGGTACTAATGTATAGCGGATCTTTGTTAAGATCCATATGTCACGGATAGGATCATAGTCTGTGCTAAATAAGACATGTAATCATTTACAAAACATCACCATGGAAATGCAGCCGGCTCTCGATTTTTAATCCTAATTAGGGCCTGAGCACGAAGTGTGCGAAGACCTATTGAAATCGTGCTCGCTATTATTCTTATTTTACCGGGCTGCGCTTTCGACCTGTTTTTGAGGGGGTTACCACACTATTCACGTAGCGACATTTGGCAACGCCGCCAGGACGGGTGAAACATTTTACATTCTGGATTCGATGGTTGCAAAATTTCCGACATGCTCACTAGCGCCACCTGTCAAAATTCAGTTTTCGAAAAATGTACATAGTCGCAGCGTAAATCGGATGGACCTGAAATTTTGCACACTTATCCGGGTGGAGCAGCCCTACATATTATCCTCTCATATCCCTAAGCTCCGCCTACTTTGATTTTTTTTAAATTACCATAATGTGAAAAACAGTGAAATATTAACTACAATTTCAATTTTTTGCTTTTCAACACCAAACTTAGTGTACAGCATCAGTGGAGGGTCACACACACTACCGTAGAACATGAGCACGACGTGTGGAAAAATGTGCCCGACATCAATCGCAACGTATTAGCAAAAAGGTGTGGCTTAGACATAAATGCTCCTAATTCATCCGCAATGTATCCAAATATCACAGATTTCGGTGGATAGGTTCAGTCTGTCTTGGGGAATAGGCACAAAAAAGCATGTTCATTTTGGACAATAGGGGGCGCCAAAAGCACAACAAATTTATACCTGAAGATCCGATAGACGAAATAAATATATTTTGTCATACACATACTGGCAGGATGAGTATCAACTGAGATTTAAAGGGGCGCAACCAATGACGGAAGTGGGCGTGACCTATTCAGCTTTATGTCGAAATCGAAGGGTTAAAAACACTTACCGACCCATAAGTAGCGGGAAAATACAGTTACGGCCTTTAAACTCGGAACGCACGTCACAGCCCACGGCCTCCTCCAGACTGTCCAAAAACATCGTGCATTTTTGCAAATACGGCTCAGTAGCGCCCCCTATTGTGCGGTAGTGACATATAGTTTCTTTGAGCGACCCGAGTCTTGGCACAGACATGCCTCATGGAATTGCCGACATATTTCAAAATGGCTTCCATTAGCCCCTCCCCCCATAAAGTTGGCCATTTTGGAAAATGTGCGTTTTAAGCGCGTTTTTGCGAACTCCTCCTAGGGAAATTATCGGAAAAATTCAAATCCACCACAAGTTCAGCCCATATCCAATGTGATGCTAAATTGCGAATGAATAGTCGACCGCTCAAACGGGGTGCTCGTAAGCTAACGGAGAATGTGCCATGTTCCACGATTTCAATGGCACAAATTCGCTAAAATGAGCTTCGGACGTGAAACTTGGGACACACGTCACCGCCCACGACCTTTTCCAGACTGTCCAATAAAATCGTGCGTTTTGTGAAATCAGCTCAGTAGCGCCCCCTATTGTGCGGTATTCACATATAGTTTCTCCCAACTACCCGAATGTTGGCACAGACGTTCCTCATGGAATTGCCGACATATTTCCAAATGGCTTCCATTAGCCCCGCCCCCCAGAAAGTTGGCCATTTTGAGAAGTGGCCGTTATTCATGCATTTTAACCACATTTTTGCTCACACCTCCTAGGGAAATGATCGGGAAAATTCCAGTCCAGGACACATTCAGCCCATATCCAACATCATGCTAAATGGCGAAT